AGACGGGGTTTCACCATGTTGACCAGGATGGTCTCGATCTCTTGACCTCGTGATCCACCCGCCTCGGCCTCCCAAAGTGCTGGGATTACAGGCTTGAGCCACCGCGCCCGGCCCTTGTCATAGATAATCTTAACTTTCTAACTTTGTTTTATAACTTTCCTTACTAAAAGTGCATTCTTATAACTTTCTTAATATTTCTTTCTCTTCTTAATCTCTCTTTGTCTCTCCTTCTCGTTGCCTCCTTGTCTCTCTCTCTCCCTCTCTGCCTCTTTCTCTCTATGTCTTTGGCTCTCTCTCTCTTACTCTCTCTCTCTCTCTCTCTGACTCTCTGTCTCTCTCCCTTTTTGACCCTCTGTCTCTTTCTCTCTGGCTCTCCGTGTCTACCATTTCTTCCCTTGAAAAGAGAATACTTAGAATGGACATTAACTTGATCTAAGTATATAACTGGGGACATAGAAACCGATCAATTTCTTCTGCCACCCCATCAGGATCATCTAATAATGGCTGAAGTTTTAGACTCCGGATCTTAGAAGCAGTTAAGGGAGCATTCACAAAACCAACCTCACCTCCTCTTTGAGGCTTCATAAAACTAAGCAGCCATGCCTCCTCCTTGAGGCATCTTCTTTAGAGAGCAAAAAAAAAAAAAAAAAAAACTTTGAAGCTGCAGCTGATGCCTTAGAAGAAGAGGGGAAAGGATATCTCTTGCATTGCCCTGTCTCTCACTGGAGCCCTTTCTTCAAGGAAGAACACTCATGCTGGCAATGATCAGGCCTTTGAGATGCTAGCTCTCCAAAGCCTGGGTTATACAGGGGAGTAGGGAATTCTAGGTTGGGTTCTGGGGTGGCAGCACTGCTTAGGCAGGAGGAGGCAGTGCCGTGGGGATGGCAGAAGCAGTAGCTGGAGTCGGAAATGAGGGAAGATGGTCTAAAGGGTCCCATTTCCACGTGAATTGCTAATGGGTAAAAGCTCCACCCTTTTTAGGTGAGACTGCTCCTTTATTCTACTGTCTGTTTTCCTCCTTCTCTTAATGAGTAGAGGACAACTGGCCCCTGCTGCCAACAGAGAGCATAGTCTATTCTTGTGAGACGACTTTTCTTGTTGACATACATTATTAAGAATTGACAGACCTAATCCTCATCTCACGCAAATTTTGGCCAGACGGCTGCGGGCTTGAGGATCAGTTCTTTAATCCAAATAAAACAGCAATACTTTATTATTTGTTACAGAAGACTCAACCCCCCCAGGCTGGGAATCTCTTGCCTATTCCATTTATGGAAGACTCTCTCAGGACAGTAAAGGCCAAAAAAAGAAGAAGAAGAAAAAAAAAAAAGACCCAACCCCCCCCAAGCTGGGAATTTCTTGCCTATTCAATTTTTATGGAAGACTCAACACCCCAGGCTGGGAATCTCTTGCCTATTCCATTTACGGCAAACCCCAAGCTGGGAATCCCTTGCCTCTCCATTTATGAAAGACTCAACCCCGCACCAAGCTGGGAGTTTCTTGTTGGCTGCCCTGGGAGGTTGACCTGTTTCCTCCTCTCCCCCTTCTGAGGGTCCTTTACACTCTTCTCATTCATACCATCCTCCGTGGCTGCTCTCCAGCAGTAGGACTTGTCACCATCCACATAAACAATACCACATTCACACACACATTCTACCCTCCAGAAGCTGACCACAAAGGAAGTACTTTGTCGACCCTTTGCAACGTTTCCTACCTTGGCTCATGCATGAGGTTGCCTGGCCGAGGCCCCTGGTCACTGTGGTTTGGAATCTCTTTCTTCTGTGTTGCTGAGATTCTAGGTTTATTCTTCGCACCAGGTAAGTTCTGGCTCTCTCCCCCAGGGCCACTGCAATAGGGCGGCGGGGCACCTCCCCACAAGGGAGGACCAAGGACTGTCCCAGAGGGGAAACAGAATGCCGGATGAGCCCCCAAATTTGTTAGAAATGGGTTTATAACGTCGGGAAAAATCCACACTGAGATAATGGATGACTCAGCAAGGCTAGTTTACTTCTTGCAGGAAGGGTGCGACTTGCCAGCAGTCTTGCCATGAGAGCACAGCTGAACAAGGAGACAGGGACATTTATAACTTCAGTAACCTGATGCAATCGCCCTATTGCTGTGTCCAGCTTCCATTGGCTGGAATAATACCTCACATTCTATGTTTGACCTGATTGGCTAAAAACTTGGAAATTTCCTGAATAGATAAGGAGAAAGAAGATGAGGAAGAAGAGGAAGCTAGTCAGGAGAAGGTCAGGAGGGTTTCCAAATGAGGAATGGCATGCACCAGGGTTTGGAGCTTGCCCAGTTCTGTTCAGACATGCCAGGGTGAGTCAAGGTAGCTGATCTGAGACATAGCTGATTTAGAGAATGTATATACATGGGTATATGTTTATGCTAATAGTTGGTAATGGCCATAGAAGCAAGAGATTGTAATTCCTTATATGTAGTCTAAGATATAAACTTTGAAGAAGAACTTTTTCATCTCTCACATCCAGAAAAGGATGTATTGGCCTAAGGGGAAATTTGAAATCCTTGAAAAATCTGTAGTCATTTTCCTTGTTAAGCTTTCAACAACTTTATGAGCGTGTATCTCCTTGTGATAATCTTGCCATGGATTGGATTGCCTTTGAGTATCTGGTTAAATTCCTCATACCTTGAACAGACACAACGGAATAGTCATAAAGACATCCTTGCCTAAGTAGGCAGTGATGGTAACTTGCCTTCCAAGAAGACTGATATGCCCGTTGAACCAGGAATAAGAGTTCCCCAGAAGCGTTAAGGTTGAAGTGTCTAGATTATTGCTCTCTGGTAGAAATATAATGTAAGCTACAATGTGAGTGATACGTGTAGTTATAAAGTATAAAATAGCCACATCGTAAAAAGCGAAAAGGTGAAATTAATTTTAGTAATAGAGGTAATAGTATATCCAAGATATTTTCTATCATATAATCACCATTAAAAAGTTTTAAATCGGCCGGGCGTGGTGGCTCAAGCCTGTAAACCCAGCACTTTGGGAGGCCGAGGCAGGCGGATCACGAGGTCAAGAGATCGAGACTATCCTGGCCAACATGGTGAAACCCCGTCTCTACTAAAAATACAAAAAAAAAACCAGCTGGGCACGGTGGCGTGCGCCTGTAGTCCCAGCTACTCGGGAGGCTGAGGCAGGAGAATTGCTTGAATCCGGGAGGCGGAGGTTGCAGTGAGCTGAGATTGTGCCACTGCACTCCAGCCTAGTGCCTGGCAACA